TTCTATTCAAATGATGAAAAATATGGAATATAGATTAAGTTAAGTGAATTACTATTATGTAAAAAGGGTAATGAAAAATCAATTATAGTAAGTGAGTTTTTAACTGAAGTTTGTGAAAGATTTAAACTAACTGTTAAACAAATTGAGAGCTATCCTGATATTCTAAAAAAAGCATGAGTATATTTAAAGCTAAAAAAGAATGATGAAGAATATTAGATAGCTGAATATCTTATTGAATAAGTTGAATATAAAGTCATTCCTATATTTGAAACCTTATTTCCAAATTGTGTTAGAGTATTTACTTTTGACAATAGTTTAAATCATTTTACATTTACTTCTGATGTATTGGTTACAAAAAAAATGAATATTAAACCTGGTGAAAATGCACTAAAAATGCATGATACCTTTTGGGATTTAAATAATAAAAGATAAAGTATAAATTCTGGTTAGCTAAAAAGTATAAAATAAGTTTTAATTGAATGAGGATTGTGAAAAAAAATATGATAAAAGAATGCAAATTATGTAAAAGCAAAATTGATGATTCTCTATATTTAGATTATTATAGAAGACAAATCATATCTTTTTAACCAGATTTTTTAGCTCAAAAATCTGCATTTGTTGAAATAATTGAAAATACCAATCACATTTGTGTATTTTTTCCAAAATTTAAACTTTATTAAATATTATTGGAGAGCAGCCAAATAATATATATATAAAACAATTATAATTATACATAGTCTCTTGTATTTTAAATTTTATAGATTTAATAACTATTCGTAGATTTGCAAAAAAGATATGATGATATATGGATTTATTTAAGCATAGAATACAAGTAAGTTAGCAGAATATGCTACTAAGAAATATAAATTACATAGAAAAATTCTTGAAAATGTATTAGAAGAATAATTATATAACAAGATTTTTTTAATTTAAAAATTTTCTTTTGCTTTATAATTTAATAATTTAAACTATAATCAATAAATCAATAATTTTGATATCAATTCACATGTAATTTTAATTACGTGCTTATTCTGATTAGATAAAGATCACATAATATATTTATGATTGGCAAAAAAAAATTCAGACTATTTGACTTTTAGATAATCTGCATCATACTTTTTGGGAATGACATATTTTGGTTATTATAATTCAAAAAATTTTGATCATTTTCATTGATTTCAATGCTTGATTATTTAATGATATATCACTAATTTCATTTTTATATTAAATACTTCACTATTTTTAGCAGTAGATATGTAAAAATTAACATGTTGACTATAAGCGGATCTAGTAAAAAAGATTCTTAAACAAAATGGATATTGAAATATCATTTTAAAAATATTTTTTTTAGATATTCTTAATTTTTAAATTAGTTTATTAATATATTATTTTCACAGTTTTTTGTATAAAATATAATTATATTTATATACAAATTTAATATTAATTATTTTTAGCTATTAAACTAATGCTATTTCAGTTGATATTTTTAGACATTACAAAAATGATAAAATTAATTCAGAAAAAAGTCTTTAGTATATGCACGTAAAATAAAATAATAACACAAATAATTTTATTTGTTAATAGTAATCATTTTGTGTTGTATAAAAAAAATTGTAAAATACTTTGATCATAAGTATATATAAATGTTTAAAATATATCACAATTATAATGTATTGCAAAAATTATAAAATGCTTTAACTGTAAATTTTTATAAATTATACAGTTTATAAATATTTTGAAGTACTTTATTTAGTAATATATTATAATTATAATATACTGTAAAAGTTATAAAATACTTCAACTATAAACTTTTGTAAAGTAAATATTATAAAGTATTTTGTTTAGTAGTATATCATAATTATAATGTAATACAAACTTATAAAATGTTTTAACCATAAACTTTTGTAAATTATACAGTTTATAAATATTATGAAGTATCTTATTTAGTAATATATCATAATTATAATATATTACAAAAATTACAAAATTATTCAATTGTAAACTTTTGTAAATTATACAGTTTGTAAATATTACATAGTATTTTATCTAGTAATATATCATAATTATAATGTAATACAAATTTATAAAATATTTTGAATGTAAACTTTTGTAAATTATACAGTATGTTAATATTATAGAGTACATTAACAGTAATATTATAAAATTATTATATTTTGCAAAAATTATAAAATACTTATATAAACTATACAAATTTATAAGTTTTATATAACTTTATACTATTTTAAATTTCCTGATGAATGTTTAGGAATAATTTCTTTAATTAAAACTAAAAAAGCAAGATAATTATAAAAAGATAATTACTATATTAGCAAATTATAAAGGTTAGAGATAGAGTCATAAGCTTTAGTTAAATCATAAAAAATTGTTAAGAATTTGTGATAATAGCTTACATTTTAAATCAGAAAATAAGATATTTTTAAATGTAGTTGAAGGATTTATCTGCACATTCATATTAAAATAAAGCCAAGATGAATGAAAGAGATTATAGTATAGTGATTTTAAAACTTATATAATGGAAAGCATTTTTAGCAATCTTTAAATTTTTTTAATGATCAAAGCTTTTTATGAAGTATGAACATAGGTAATATTATCATTGATATAAAGATAGTAGCAAACTAATTAACAGAAAATTGTTTATATCTATTAATTAAGTGTAGTAGTTTAAATTTATTAAATACTATGAAGTACAATATGTTTTTATGAACAAATGAATAGAAATACAAAATTTTTACTTCTTTATATTGATAATAAAATTGATCTAAATATCATATATCAAATATAAGAGCTTTGAAGTTGTAGCAATTTTTGCTAATTGGTTAACTTTGTAATTAAATAAATCATTTGAATGTATTTTGACTTTAAGGAATCAGATATCAAAATTCTAAGACTTAATGATATTAAATAGACTAAATCATAGAGGAAAATTACTAATTTTCAAAAAGAGTAAGTTAATAGTAAGATGATCAGAATCCTTTTGAATTAGAATTATTAAATGATTACTTATGAATCAATTTTGATAATCACTTAATAATTGATAGGAGTGATAATTACCATAGTAAAAATAGCTGCTAACTTTGCAGCTAAAGAAGAAGAAAAGAAAGTGATAAAAGCAATCATAAATGAAACTATTAGTAAATCTAAATATGTTTGTAATCAAGTAAGACCCATTCTGATTGAGAAAGAACTGAAGCTAGAAAGTAAACCATTTGTAAAAAATTCTAAAATTGATGCAACTAAGAACTGTTAAAAAAGAGTTAATAAACTATTCAAATGGGTAAAAGTGATAAACTGCGAGATTAAGAAAGAAAGTGTAAGATAGTGAAATATAATAAGAGATGATATAATAAATGAAAAATTGATTTTTAAATGAGAATAAAAAGATATTTCTTTTAAAAGAGGTAAGGACTATAAATAGACCAAATTCTCTCTATTATTATGAATAGCAATTTCTATATAGGACTTAATAAGTATTATCAGTACATACTTGTTGATAGATAACTTCACTTAATTATGCCTAAATATTGTAGTAATATTGAGGACACAACTATCACAGCCTTGTAAAATTACTTTGTTATCAATATTAATCAAGTAAAATAAATGTTTGACAGATGTAAAGCTTTTCTCAATTTTTATGATTTGATCAAATACTACATTATTAAGACTTAGATTGGTTTTCAGGTATTAATAAAAGGAGATACCAGAGAATAACTGTATCTTAAGTTATGAGAAAATGATTTATCTGATGGTAATTGTTATCATGTATTGATATTGAGAGTTCATTAGATAGTAATATACTACTGTAGAATTCTCCCCTTTTGAGAAACTGAAGGGAAGAATCTAAAATCTGTGAAAGTAAACATGTAGTTGCTTTCATAGTTGACCAATTATTCAATGAATATCAAGAAATATTTAGCAAAGGTGCCATTTTCCTATAATTACTTGGGATAATAGTGCGAATGGTATTAATGCCACCTTGTATATTATAACAACAATGATTTGGAGTCAAAATACTGATATTGCAGGGATCCAATCTTTAAAAATTTTTGGTAGCGAATATGCATTTCTTCACAAAATCAAGTCAGCAAGAAACTCTTCCAAATCAACTTGAATATGATAGTCGTCTTGTTGTAAATCGCCTTGGAGAATTTTACCTTTGCATACTTAAACCACTTGAAATATGGACCGAAAACCAAGGTCCTTTATTTTTAGGAATGCAAGAAAAGGGTTTTATTTATTTTATTAAATAATCTTATATTTTTATATCATTATACAATAATATAGAATAAAACCTTAATAATATTAATTTGGGAGGTTTGCTATTAAAATCATGTTACGAACATAGTAAATCATATGATCCGTAACGTGACTTTAATCATTTAATTAATGATTTAATAGGAAGGAGTAATTCCAGACGTGCGTACATTCATGACTGGTTATGATCCAAGTGGAAAAGCTATTGAATGAGGAAAAAATGATATTAATAGAATTTATCGGCTTTCCCAGACGTATGACAAAATCCAAAAGCAAGCATGACTCTATTCATGGAAAAGTACACAAACGAAAACGATACAAGCTTCGCAAAGGTCATGCTTCGTATACATAAAAAAATCCGTTGTCTTATTAATGATTGCCCCCATAAACTTGCCAAATGGCTGTGTCAATATTATCGTATTATTTTGTTGCCTGAGTTTAAGACACAGGGAATGGTTATGCGAGGAAAACGGCTGATTCGTTCTAAGACTGCACGGATGATGTTAACATGGTCCCACTTCCGATTCCGCAATTTCTTTTACATAAGGTTCGTGAGCATCCATGGTGTCATGTAATTATATGTACTGAAGAATATACCAGTAAGACATGTGGGTGCTGTAGTCATATCCATCGAAAATTGGGTGAATCCAAAGTGTTCCGTTGCCCCAGTTGAGCTTGATCGGGATATCAATGGTGCTCGAAATATATTACTTCGCTATCTCACCCTGCTATATCCCAAGAGTCGGTTTATGCCGGCGCTGGGACCTACCTCTGGGATCTTCATGATCCTTGCAGAACATGTATATTTCCTTATTGGGCATGATCAGTTTACGGATTTGATCTACAAAGCGTTTCCAAATTAGGGTTTGGTTTCGGGATCACCTCTGACAAGTTTCAAATTTGGGAAAATAATTACTCCGAAACGTAATTACACAAACACATTTACAAAAAAGACATTAACAATTTTTTTTTGGTCATTAATTAACGTTGCAGTAACTTTGATTTATTCAAGATCATATCCGACAAATTTATTTTAGGAATACGAGTAGGAATAAATAAATAAATAATATGATACATGATATTTGTACAGTACATGGATTTGTCATTATATAACTTCGTCATCAGAATTTATAGAAAAATAGCTTTCTCTTTTTAATACATCTTCAAAATTTAGTAATCTACTAGTATAAAAAGCATCCGAATTTTTTACGCGAGTATTCATCTTGACAAGTTCCAACATTGGTAAAACCTCATCAGCGTCCATAAAAGCCTTTTGTACTTGATATAATTTATCACCAGTATTATTGATGCATTTCCACCAATCACTAAAAACATATAATAATTCTTTAGCATTTGGACGTGATGAGGGATTCGTATTACAACAATCTAATGCTAATCTGATGTAAACATGTGGTAAACTTTGAGAAATTTGTGGACGGGAACCTTTAACAATTTCCAAGGCCAATTGAGAGTCATGTTTACGATCTGAAAAGAGGGGTAAACCATTTGATAATTCGATCATTAACATTCCTATACTATAGATATCCGATTCTTTTGTAGGGGGATGTCCAAGGATCACTTCAGGTGCCATATAAGGTAGAACCCCATAAACGTCCCTTTTATGATTAATCTTTGTTGAATAATGATTTGCGGGTAAAGATAATCCAGCATCAGTCAAGGTCGACGAAGTTTCTCTTTGATTAATTCCCAATTGTAAAATATTTCCCGGATGAATATTACCATGAACGTGACCAGATTTATGAATGGTGAGCAAACTTGAAGCTATATCACAAAGCCACCAAATTTTTTCGGACCATTGAAATGAAGAAAAGTTCGTATTTAATAAAGTACGTAAATTTCCATGTGCCGTATATTGAATGACCAACATATACTCTCCGTTAGATGGATCACGAGTTAAACCATAAAATTTCAACGAAGATTGTTCCCTTTTTTTTGAAGACAAACTACATCGATAATAAGATTTTAACCGTTTAATATAACCATCGGTCATTTCTTGAGAATCTTTAATGCGTTTAAGCGCCACGGTGATCGCATCGCTACGCGGGCATTGCATTCGACTTTTACGTGTCATAGTAAAACCATCAAGCCTACTATTTTAACCAATCAAAGAAATTCAAACATTAGTAACACATCAGTGACGCATTGCATGCAGCATTGCCATAGTAAGCAAAGATCATACCAACCTTCCTTGAATCCAAGTGGCGGAATAAACCACACTAAAATTTCCTTCACCGACTTCTTTTACATCTTGAAATTGATCGTAAGGAATCCATTCCAAATAAGGATCCGACCAATTATTTGCTTTGCTTTGAGTTCGTTTGATAAATTTATCGATTCCCAAATGACCGCTGGATACAGATTTCATTGTACATTTTTTACACCATCCATCGCTGTCCAGGTATCGTAATAAATGTTGACATTTTGAGGTCAATTGTTGGGTTTCAATGTATCTCGCCGCTGTGTTTAAGTAAGTTTCGTTTCCCATTATTGAAAATTAAATATATATAACAAGTAAGGTAGAATGAATTATTTCGTTAAGATAAAATTTTTTTTTTTTGGAAATATTATGTACAGGTTTTGATATCAAAATATCTTTTTTTTTTTAAAAAAAAAAAAAAATCGAAATATTAACTAGGAAGAAATATAAATTTCCAGAATTTATAAATCTTTATGTTATTAGATTAAACAATGGAGCCTTTTTTTTTTTTAATTGCTTTAAAAGGGTCTGAAGAAAAAAAAAATTATGCCCAGATAAACAAGACATTTTATATTATTTCAAGATTTCTTATTTCATAATTCATGCATTACTGCGGTAAGTACATAACAATACTAAGCTTAAATTTTTTTTTTTTCAAATTTCGTTTTAAAAATAGGTATTATTGAAAAAATAAATAAGATTTTGACAACTCGAATAATACTTGAGATTTGTTTTATGTGTAATGTTGATTATGTTCTCAAATAAGTATTCTCAAATAAGTAGGTTATTTATTATACCCGAATCTGATACTGTACTACGTCAACATGTGCATGCATCAACATCGGTTTACTTATTTACCATAATTGGTAACTTTACCCATTATTTGATCGTAATTTTATTCTAGGAATGCTTGTGCGAGTGTAGGTCATTATTAAACAATAGGATTTTTAATTTTAGAAATAATTGTAATGAGGATTGTCTTAGTTTTAAAGTTATGGCGGCAACTTGGTAATTTAACATGCATGAAATTTCAGGGGGGATTAAGGTTTTAATATTTTAGAAGCTCATTCGAACAATAATTAATATCTACGTTCTCTAAACTTGGATTAACGCTAATCTTTGATGAAACCGATTAATTTTTAGATCATTTCATGATAAAGTTACAGCGACTATTGATGGCGTATAAATAACAGGACTTGATACGTAAGTTAGATAATCAAACTTTACCCCTGTATTGGTGCAACCATCGACAACTCATTCACATCCATAGATTTTTCGAAAATTCTGACGATAATCGAATTAAAAAAGGATTAACATTTATTTTTATCAATGATCTATTTTTATTCATGGATCTTGATATTTGCTTTCTTTCGGCAGCGAATTAGCAGAACAATTTACAGTATTTTTCATCCGTTTGATCTACATTATTTTCAAAACGAATTTAAAAATCTGTCTGATTTAGATCGTAATAAAAATAAATTTACATTCAGACCACCGATAATATCTAAAGTTTTAATGATTGTTTGGACGTGTTTTAGCAAATTTTCGAATTATGTGACGTTTCATCCTTTTTGTTTCATTGCTCGATTCTTTTTTTTTTTTTTAAAAAAAAAAAAATTTGAATTATATTCTAATTATTATAGTAACCGTAAGAATTTTCTTCGATTTGACAAAGTAATCGTACATGAATAAAATAGCATGCTCTAAATGAAGATGTATTTGATTTATTTTTATATATATATTTTTTTAAATTACAATAAAAGGTTTGCACCAAGCAAAGAGTCGATGGTTTTTTTTTTATTGTACCCTCTATTTATCACCAATCTTAGAAGCAAGGAAGGTCGTAAAAATTAAAAAGATAGAAAGAAAATTGAATTCCATGATAGAAATCGGTACAATTAATCACTGTAAACAATACTTTGCCAATATAAATGCTTATATTACCACGTACAACAAAAATAAAACCAAGTCTTCAAGAAACCATTTTGCACTGATCCTTCGTGATTCTGAATTTGGAGTCGGTCAAAATAAATATTATAAAATATTAAATTAAAAGAATAAGAAATTATTGTTCCCAGAAAAACGTCACAATAAAGGTCGTATGGGATTTCGTCTAGAGAAGCGTTACATCTGATTGCCAAGGAATTTATCAGGCAGGTGAGTCAACATAAATATTATGAAAGAATTTTTTTTTAAAAATGCTGGGCGTGTTTATCTATCCTCATCGAATATAGTGGATTCTTTACTGACTGCTTTTCTAAAAAAAATTTTAAAATTTTAAAAAAAAAAAAAAAAAAAAAAAAAAAAAAAAAAAAAAAAAAAAAAAAAAAAAAAAATTTTTTTTTTAAAAAAAAAAAAAAAAAAAAAAAAAAAAAAAAAATAAATCAAGGTAAAGTCAACCGTAAAATTTTCACGTGAGAGGAAAATTTCAAAAAAAGAAATCTATGAAAATAACAAGATTAGCACGACCCGAACACAAATTTTTCTATGCCTTATTAGGTGAGTTATGCAACCTAACTCGCAATTTATATTATTCTTTTCTTTATTGATGAATTTGCATTTTTTAGTAACGTATTTTTAATTGAAGCCGATATTATTTCTTAATACATGATTCAAATGAAAACAAATTATGTGCTGTACCTTGTAAAAAAAAAAAAAATTACAAATAGAAATAATATGAACGCAGTACTTTTCGTATTCGAGCTAAAATTGTAACATTCTCTTTTATTTTTTGAAAACTATTAAAAAAAAATTGTTATTATTGAGAATTAACCGTAATTTTGAGTACCGATTTTAATCATTCTGATGATATTGGATTTGAAGTCTTACGCTTAGTGATTGAAGTTCTTTAATTCCGATATTGAACCCATCGAATAATTTGTCGTAATGAAACAGACATTGCATCGACGAAATTATTCATTACGATATGCTAAGAATGCGTTATGGTTGTAAAATGTAATAATCATGAAAAATTCCAGTACACTTTGTGGCTTGTTTTGCGACATAACCTCAGAAATTCAAAATAAGGTTTTAAAAGTTATTTTAAAAGTGAGTCGATGGAAGCTTTTTTTTAGTGCTTACTACATATTTTTATTTTGCTTTAATAGAGCGTTACTGCGCTTTATTAATTTGTTTCTGTAAAAAAGCCACACTGATTAGTCAAATACGGTCATTCGTAAGACCACTCGTTACGACATAAAAATCACGTAAGATTATTCTATTTTTTTTTTGCTGTATTACGTCACAACAGGCCACCAAAAGTTTATACAAGAGTATATAAAGTGTATATATACCTTAGACTTCTCTCAAGCTTTCACTAAAAAAACTAATCGCTTTTACAGAAAATATAATGTTATATTCATTAAACTGCTTGGTACTAGGACAAGCTCCTACTAAGATATTCAGTATTTTCTATGGCGTATATTTTCCTATCCGTGATTTACAAGTCAAATTTGATGAATTAACTGTTTCAGGATTCAAGGAAGCTTTATCTGAAAAAATTGGAATAACCGAAATAAATGTTTGGAAAGTCAAACTCGGCTTTCATGAAATTAAAAACATTTCTACCATAGATGATATTAAAAATCGTGACGATAACGAGAAGTTTGATGACGATCCTATGTTGAATTTTAATCATATTATGTTAATGCTGACGACGACAAAAGGCCTGAGGCCGGATATCTTCATATTTTCATAGTTCCCACCTCCACTGGTAAGTGTCTCCCGATGTTTTACCTCTTGAACAAGGAATTTGCTGTAACAAAATATCTAGTTTGGTCTGATCTCTTTTTTCGCGTTAAAGCAGATTCTTCGCGAAGCGTTACAAAAGGTACGGTATCTGCAGTTGAATGACTTGAGTATAAAGGGCCAGGGATGATGCATTCCTGATTTAATTTTACAAGAACTTTTTTAAAATAATAGACAAACGAAAATTATTAGTCGATTATTATGTAATATATTTTTCGCATTAATAAATTGTTTCATTTAATCTCATTTAATACTATTTAAGAATGATCAGAAATATTTTTGATTGATGTAATAACTTATTAATCTTCTAATCTATAATCTATATAAAAAAATCCATGTCGATCGGTAACGTTTAGATTACGTGAATTTTCAATCCGTTTTGTACTGCACTAGAATTTTCCCTTAATGTGACCACGAACGAAGATTGCTGAATAACAAATAATTCTTTTTTACATTAACTAAAGACTTAAAATTAAGCTAATTTATTACGTGATAACTAAATTAGTTAGTGCAAATAATTATTTAATTAACAACGAGTTATATATCTTATCGTTATATCTAAAATACAATCGAAATTTGTTTCAATATTATATAGATCATCTCATTTTTTAACAATACAATTGAATTTCTCTTATTATTATAATTATAATTAATATTTTACAACCTTTTATATTTAATTTTCCAATTCTTAGTTGTTTTTTCAATTTTTTCTTTTATAAAAAAAATACAAAAAAAAAATGCAAAAATATATATATACGATTATTTTCCAAGTTTATATCTCAATTTTTCAAATAAAATAAAAAAGTCATCATCAGTACCATATTGTGCCAAAGGGGTTGGATAGAGGATTTATCAATGGATCGGCAAGTTACAAGATTTCTCAAAGAACGTCAAAAAATTTTTACCATGGATTCTATAAAAACAAATCTCTTCGGTTTTGCATGATTTAGAAATGTATAATTATGCATTAATATGTGGAAGATGGGTTTTTGACAAGGAAAATATGTATGTAAATATAAATTAATTAGTTTATTATATATTATTATACATTTTATCTCTTACCCATTAAATAAACACTTTTTATATTATACCGTAATAAATAAAATAAAACTTCAAATACTCTACTACATAATTCAATTACTAATGATTCTATTCTCATAGCCTGCTGCAGCACAGCAGATACCAACTAGTTTGTAATAAAAGTATCGTTATTACAGGACGCTAATGAAACTATCACCTCCTCCGCTCCACTCAATTACCTCCATCTTGTCGTTTGATTGCATTCTTCAGTTCATGAGATGGGTAAACGCAATTAACTGCAACAAAAAATATGATAAGTAAACAAGGATGCTTGTATTTGTTGTGCGTTAACTATAATTTTGCGTTGGATACCGACTGGCCTAAATTATGGGCCTATTTTGGGCTGATCTTATAATGCCTTGAGAAGGTTTGGCCAGCATTAGTCATCTGACGCATGTCAAAATTAAAAATTACTTTTCATTTTATACTTGTAGATTACCAAATTTGTTATGACCTCATTTGTAAACCAAGTAAAATATTTAATTATCCTTTTTTATAATAATAAAATCAAAAATTAATTAAGTAAAGCCATAAACGCAATTATAGAATTCATGCACAAATATCATTGATTAATTTAGATGATAATCAATAATCTTTTTTAATATTCTAATTTCTATTTAGAGAATCGTTAGTTGTCAAGGAGTAAGTACTTTATCCCTTCCTTTCTCTGTGTGAAAATAATCCGACTCATTATTGACTTTTTGGGTTCAGCTCTTTCTGATTATGATATATTCTTTCCATAGAAGTTAATAAAGTTTTATTTTCTTTAAATCTTATTCAGAATTAGTATACTTTTAAAACGAATCATTTAGCATTGATAAAGTTTCGTATTGAACAGATTAACAACCGGTACGATATATAAAAACATAACGTGACTGTGGTGTACCTTCAATATTATGTAATATCAACATATTTAATATATTAGATTCAATAACAAAATGAAATAAAACAAATTGCTGTATTCGACGAAATATAATAAAATTATAATAATAAAGAAAATTTATTTTTTATTTACAACAGTATCTTTTTTACAGAAATTGTTTTAACCATAAGTTTATAGTATCAATTTAGAGAGAACTAAGTACGAAAAAAAATTTTAAGAAAATGTTACACAAATTTGAGAAACAAGATTTGCATACATCATGCAGAATGTTTGGTTTCCTTAATTTCTTAATTAAATAGTATATAGGACGGCGTAATTTAACAAAATAAGAAATTAATCTATACATTTACTGTAGTTTAATTATTTAGTTTAACGTTTACTTTTTTCAACAAAAACTTCTTTTCATATTACATTTGATAAAATTTTTTTTTATGAGTTAACCAATGGTATTTCGTGCGAAAATATGCAAATAGCTAGCTAAAAATTTAATTAACTAAATTCATAAACAAATTTAATACTACCATAATTTTTTAAAAATAAAAAAATGAAACTCTTTAAATATTATATGATTTTATTGATCATTTCATTGGTGACATATCCAATAAATTCACAAAATGTTTTTACATATAATGATATGCCAACTATGAACGCCAGCGACAGTACTCCCATTATATATAAAATAGCTAGTTATGCTGATAACAGGATAGTTGTTCATATCATTCGTCCAGATTTATCATACTCTACTGAAGGAGATAAATTTTGGATAGAGAAATACTTGTCACTTCGAACGATTTATCCTAATGGGACTGTTTTACCATTAGATATTAAATTGGATATACAAGATTTTAATTTTTGTATATATGCCATTAACGGAGTATATATGAGTCCTATTGAAATTTATCCTATAAGAGGTCGTTTTGTGTTAGTAACTTATATAAAAACTACGGACTTAGATGATCCATTTGCTTATAATGAATTGGCAATGATTTTTGATTTAAATGGAAAGAGTTATGGGTTAGTTAAAGTTCAAACAAATTAAGTATATGTATACAATTACCAATATTTTGTTTTCATTTTTATAGCAACATTTCATTTGGACTAGCATATGTTAATATTACCGATAATCATTGGTTATCTAACCGCGCTGAGATTTTTGTGAATTTCAATACTGACAAAGGATTTCTCCGTTTGGCACCAAAAACAAATACTACTGATTATATCTGGCAGCAATACGATGTGTAATTAATTGATCTTTTAAATAAAATTTTAATTTTAATTTGAAAAGTATATTTAATTAATTACTTTACTTTTTTTTAATGTAGGACTGAAGCGGGAGATATCCTATTACTAGCGAAAGATATATTACTTTTTTCAAATTTTACTAAACTATTAATTACAGTCGTTCCAATGGTGGGTGGAAGATATGCGATAGTTTATGCTAATTCTACAGGTTCTACAACCTTGCTCCAGAGTCCTTTTATTTCACAGGGAGGAATCTATACCATAATTTTAGAGTTTGGCCTAGTCACTAAACGAAAACCTGTTATTCTATATCCACTTTCAATGCTAGGAATTACTTTTACTGATATTAGTTGCGATATTTCATATGTTGAAGTTGGACAACAAACTTGTATAGTAACTGGTGAAGATAAAAGTGGAAATGATATAGACATTTTTTATCTAAAGGTTGATTTTCTTTCTTCAGGAGCTGCATATAATATTAAGCCATTGGCGAGTAATTTCCAAACGGTTCCAGGAATTGAAAAATATAATATTAAATCATTACCATACGGAGGTTATATCTTATGCGGACGAGGTATTGATATTGGTGGTAAAAATGTGGTTGCTTGCTATATTTTGAATGACAATAATGAAGTTTTTCCTTGGGATCTTTCAAATCCTACAACAACAAGCTCTATAAGCATCTCTACAATCTTAAATAATAATACTTATGTACTTGCCCAATTGGGTAGTAAGCAAAATTGGACTTTACTTACCACCGATTTATATAAAATTGAGGAAGAACGAGGTAATGTGACAGGAACTAAATATAAAATAAAATTTTTATCAAAAATTTTCCTAATTACGCATTAATTAATATTCTAGATCATGGATATAATAATATACATATAAATACCACATATCCGAATATTAATGATATTATTCAGTCTGATATAGAATACCTTACAATTCAATATTACGACGAAGTTGTTTTATCAACCGGCAAGATTGCAATTTATCAAGATGATGGGAATTTACGTCAAATCATCACTGGTATTAACGATGAATACGTAAATATTGGTGAGGATTATAAGGATAATAAGACAATTAAAGTTGATATTTTCAAAAGCACATTCAATCTACCTGGCAGAACTTATTATGTTGTAGTAGAAGATAATTTTGTAAGGAACCTAGCTTATCAAGAGCCTCTCTATGGTGTGAAAGAACGTGTTTGGTCTTTTAATACATGTAAGTGCTTACTTCTCTCATTCCAATTGAAATAAAGTTATTTATATATTTTTTAAGTAGTTTCTAGAACAGTAAAATCAGAAGAGAGTTTAGAATACTTGATAGGGCATGTTCGACTGACTATAGATGGGACGAATTATTTCGACAGCCTTAACGAAATCGCTCGCAATGTATTTATCACGAACCTAACAAAAGAATTGGCTGATGCAATTCCCATTAGCTCTGACCGCATAATTATAAATAAAAAGACTGAAATTGACCCTTCAGAAGAACAAATGATCTTATCAATTAAGATTCAACATGATGAAAGTAAGCAAGAAATACCGACTAGTTTAGCAACTAAAGATTTAGATATTTTGATCAAAAATAAGCTTGTGACTGTCATTGGAACTGGTGATGCTTCAAAATATTTAGATGGGGTTTATGGATTTCAATCTCTTCGTAAGAATTTATAACTACATGTATTTTTTTTCATATAGAGAGAACTAATTATTATTTGAATCTCCAAAATAGCCAATTTGTGGGAAACCAACCAAACGTCATTTATTGCAGTATTTGCAACCATAAGCATATTTATCTTACTTTTCTTGTGGGCTAAACATAAAAATAGAGAGGTATATCTCCTATCTATGATTTTAAATTAAAATATGTTCAAATTATAACATCATATTTATTTAGGCAAAGAATATTAAAATATTACAATTCGGTCTTATTTTTTTTGATTTTGTTGTTGATATTCTTTTTATTAGTATCAAAACAAAATATATTGATGGGTGGTTATTTATACCAAGGTATAGTAAGGAAATCATTTTTTAATTATTAATGTAAAAATACTAAATTTTTTTAAAGTATCATAATCCTAGTATTTCCATTTATTGTAAGTGTCGGGTTGGCATTTATAATTATAAAGCAAGAAAATAAGAATGATGAATTTTTAGAATGGTCAAGAAATCATATGCATACGATATCATTATTCACATTATTAGCGGGAGCAGATATTGAAGTTTTAACTTTACTAGAATCAAAAATTGCAGGATATTCATTTTTTAATGCTAAATTTTCTGAAACGGCATTAAGTAAAATATTTTGGGGAACTTTGTTCAATTTATTTGAAGAAATTCCTCAAGTAATTATCCAGGTATAATATATATATTCTTTAGCCTTCATGTCTTTTAATATTTTTATAAATCCAATAATAAAATATTTATTTTTTTTTAATTAATATTAAGGTTATATATTATAATAGGACAATGACTTATGATTTTATACCTTTGTTAGCACTTTCATCATCTTGCTTAAATTTATTAATTAATATTATAAGAGTTATTAAAAGAACGTATAATACTTACAGGCCTAAAGAACAAAAATATGAAGAAATATTTACAGGAAATTCTAATAGTGATTATAGTGATGTAATCGATAAAGATGATGGAAATTTTGGTGGAATAATTGACGAATGCATTTTTTAAAATTTGATTAATATCTATATAGTTGCATAAAATATTTTAGAGAGAATTCCTAGTTTTGATGTTTAGATTGTAGTATAAGAAAATTGATAACTAAATATTTTTTCCATATTTTAACAAATTTACATATATAAGTTATTTTAGATCTATACTTTAAAATTCCTTTGATATATATTGGAAGTCTACCATTCTACACGCTTAAATACATTTTGTTATTTAGTATATATTTTGTCAAACACTGAAGGAATTTATAATTTTTGTTTCTGATTTTAAGATTAATTCAAGCTGCCTTACGTTAAATTCATAAATTTAAATTGGGACAATTCAATTCCAATATAATTTTATTTCACTAAATAAAATAAAAATTTAGTTACTAGTAATAAAATGATTTATCTTTAGTAATAACGCTACAATCATTAAATAATAAATTATTAATTATTTTATAAAGATTTTATCGAATTTCTTGGACTACACATATGGTTATTTCATGCCGGTTTACAACTCCTCATAATCGGGATTTTATTTTCATCGAATCGTTCTATTTAAAATGCTTTCACTAAACTATAAAAAAAAATTTATTGAAAAAATAACAAACATTGTGTTTAAATTAACAATAATAAAGGTAAGAGTGTAATAAATTTAAGACGTATATCTACTTTATAGGAATGAAGACGACGAAAAGTTCATTTTTATTAATAAAAGAATAATTTCGGGATTTTTTAAGTCAATATTTTTACATTAATAATAAAATACATTAAACTTCATTCAAATTTAAAAGTTAGCTATTTATGATACATATTCAAGTTATTTGTTTTAAATAAACTATATTTTCTTTATTTGTTGCTTTTAGTTTATTTTTGTTCAAGTTTTTATATATAGTACTATACTTCAATTAAGACGAAATGGATTAGTAGCTAGGATTAAGAAAAATTCTTTTGTTTTTTCAAAAGACATCGTAAATTGCGACTAAAAATATAAAGATCAATTAATCGGAAGAGCCAATTAAATTTGGTGGTTGTTTAACGCGTCGAATTCATGAAACCAATCTTTATATAGAAAATTTTCTGATGAATTCCAATAAAATAATATAAATTAGATATTAATAAAATAATCTTATGCATGATTATGATCAAAAGATTGCTATTAAAATCGAGTTACGAACATAGTAAATCATATGATCCGTTTTATTAGTTAATTTAAATTCCATTGATTGTAAGATAGACAGTTAATTATTAATGTCTGAGATTAAAATTAAAATAAAGAGCAAATATTGGTGTCCGACGATTACTTAATATAATCTTTATCAATAATCAACCCTTTATAATAATGAGGACAAGAATTGATGCTGAATTGAGCGACTAAGTTAATAATTGTACAGTAGGCTGACTTTTTAAACATCATAATCTCAAAATGTTAACAATATTTACCATGAGAGTGACATTCTTCTATAAGGTATGTTACATGAAAAGTTCAAAATTTTGCTTTTAAAGAACTATTTTCGTGACATATCAGAAACAAAAGGAAATTATCATCATTGATACGCCTTCGCCACTCATGATGTCAACTTTAACATTAGACTAGGTAGCCTGTGACATTGGATATATATTAACTAAACTATGTCAAGTCATACTGTAAAATATGCTGTTGTAGATTTTTTTGTCGTTTATTATAACAATAAGTATATTTTAATATGGGAAATATTTTATTTCCGAAAAAAGTATTTCGTTCATACATAAATTAATTTGTATGTAATATTATGTACACATTAATTATTAACGAAATAGTTGAAAATTTAGTAGTCTTCGTCAACATCAGAAAATTCATACTATTCACATGATTTATTATATATTTAACTTCTGAAGCTCGACATGATATTCCCATTAAAAAAATCCAATACTTAAAAAATTCAACAACTTATATTTAGAAAATTATAGTAATACTGAAAAAATTAAAAAAGCTTAAAGAATATCGTGACATTTACATTTTTTGAATATGCCTAAATAAAATCGCTTTCTTCATAAAAAATTAAAAAGTATTAATACCGTATTCCTCCGAAAATAAGCAACGTAATTTTGTTATAAAGTTGCTTATTTTCGGGTAGTTAAATTTTTTTTA